TTTATAATGGAATTTTATGAGATTATTTTTATTCTTCATCATCAAATTCACTTTTCATTATTAATAATAATTTTTTTTTTTTTTTTTTGTGGAATTCTTTGTTTTTTTAATAATATTGTTGTTTTATTTTATGGTCTTGTGTTTTTTTTTTTTTTTTAAGTATATTTTTTATAGACTAATAAATAATAAGTATTATATTTTTGTTTAATTAATTAAGATATATAAAGTAATATATATAATATATATTATTAATTAATATTAGATGATATGAAAAAAAACGATAAATTATTTTAATTATGTTTAATAAAATAAAATACCTCAATTCGAATAAAATTTCTATTATATTTAATTCAATTTTAATATTTTATAATATTAATATATTCATTTATTTGAAATAATAAATAAATTAAACTATTAATAATAATTAATTATTATTTATTAAAGAAAATTTAAAAATTCTTTAATATTTCTTTATAAAAAAAGGATAGCTTACAAAAAATTTAGAATTTATAAAATATATAATAATTTAATTTTTTATATAATTTACTAAATTAAATCTATAATATTTGAATCAAAAATTATAAATAGAAAATTCTAAATTATTTAAGGTTAATATTTTTTATTTTTTTTCTAATTTACATAAATAGTTTTATTTTAATACAATAGAGAAAATTATTTATTATCTAATAGTAAATTTAATTTATATCTTTTTAAATTAGCCAAATATATATATATATATATATATATATATATTTTACATTTATTTATTTATATATATATATATAATATATGCTATTAATATATTTTTTTTATTTATTAAGTTATTCTTAAATGATCAATGACAAAAAAAAATTATTTTTTAAATTTATATAAATATGCTCATATTTAATTATATAAAATATAAATTTAAATTAAAAAAATAATGTCTAAAGAATTAATATAGTATAAAATAAAAATAAAAGATATGCATTTGTAATAATTATAAATAATATATTAATTATATATTATAATATTGAAAATATTTAAAGTTAAATTTTTATTTAATATTAAAAAAAAAAAAAACATTTGTTTGATCATCGAATAATAGATATACATTTAAAAAAGTTATTAAAAGTTCTTGATTTAATTATATATGGTATATACCGAAAAAAATGAATTTTTCTTCTTCTTTTTAGCAGCTAATTTTATGATACTAATAGAATTATTTAGTATAAAATATTTCCTTCCTATAAGCTTGTATTTTTAAAAAAGTAGAGTATAAATTATGTTTGAACATTTTATTTTTTGTCTATATTTTTAATAGAAATAATACCAATATTTTTTTTTACAATTATAAATTTTTTAATATTTTGCTGACTATTTCTATTGTTTACATAGATTTGTTATTTTTACTTAAATAAATGTTAAAATTAATTAGTATTATCCATTTTCTATAGAATTACTCATACTATCAAAAAAATTTCAATCATTTGAATAGATGATTTTTTCAATTTAAAGCTCTTAAATTTGATGCTATTTTATTTCCAATCTTTTTTAAAAATAGTAATTCGAATTATTATGTTTATTTTCCATTTAAATAATTTTATTTCAATTATTAATTTAATTTTGCTAACGCATTTACTATCTTTTTTTCCATTTTTATAATAATATTTAATATTATTAATTTGTTCATATTTATATTTATTTTTGTTATTTTTAATTAATTATTTATTACTTATATTCAATTAATTACGATTTTAAGGTTACTATTTTTTATATAACTAATAATCTCTTAAATATATAAATAATTTTATCATTCTTTTAATCTTTAAATTTCTTATTTTTTCTTTTCTTCTCTTTAAATATTTTTTTTATTTGATTATTTATCTATTCTATATCGGATTTTTTAAATATCCAAGTGTTTGGTTTTTCTATATTAATATGTAATAACATTTTTGATTATATATAAAATAAAATGATTTGATTAAATGTAAAATTATGATTTTATTTTTTTAAATTTATTCCCTTTTTTTAATAAAGTTCATTTAATATTTTTTACATATTACTTATAATTTTTTTATAATAATTAATTTTTTTAAAAAAGCATGTTTATAATTAGCACTTTTTCATATACAAATTATTATTAATATTCATATTTAAGATATGTTCTTGTATATTTTTATTCACAGAAAATACATATTCTATCAAAATCATTCTATTTTTAAGGGCTTAGTTTCTTTATTAAAATTTTTATATTGATTCTTTTAAATAATATATACTACTTTTTAATTAAATTTTTCTTTTAAAATTAATAAAGAAAAAATTATATGATAAATTTAGTAGTTCTAAATGGATTATATATATTTTATTTATAATTTCATTTTACACTTTCATTATTTTTTTAAAAAAATTCTAAAATCTTTCTATAATCACCTTTATTATACAAACAAATAGAAAATAGACAATATAAAGTTAAATATGTTCTCCTTTGTTATTTATATTATATGCAAAGTTCGAAAAACTTTAATATTTTTTATAATTATTTACATTTAAAATATTATTTTTTTTAAATAAATTTCTCTTCACTATGTTATTTTAAAAAATTAATTTTTATAGTTTATTTAATTTTTGTAATTTAATATCATTATTATCTGACTGTATTTTCCATTATTTTTAGTTCACTTTATTAATATGCGAATAATATTATTTTTAAAATATATGAATATTCTTAATTTTTAAAAATGAACTATTTTATATATATGGTAAATAAAAAGAAAGTTAAAAATATTAATATCTAAATTATGTTTAAATCATAAATTTAAAAATATTTTTTTTTAAATAATATATATATATATATATTAATTATATATTTTATTTTTTAATTGATTTTTTTTTTTTCTGCATATATATAAACTAAAAATAAATTAATATATTTTAATTATTAAAGATTAGTGTAATTAATTTAATCTATTTATTTAAAAATCATTATAATTAATTATATTATTATTCTTACATTGATAAATAGAATCATCTTATCTTAATATATATATTTTTTTTATATATTTTTATGTCTATAAAATTATATTTGAAATTTTTCAAAAGTTATTTTTTTAATTTAAAAATGAAATAATAGGAAAAATTTCTATTTATAATTTAGTTTTTAAGCATTATTAAAACCTTATATATATTAAATATAATGAAATAGTTTGTAAAATTAATTATATTTTTATACTAAAGCAAAAAATTATTAATAGTTATGTATATTATTATATTTTACAAAAATTATATACAAAAATTTATATTTATAATATGAATAGCTTTATATATATGTATTTTTTTTATATGTATAAAAATACATTTTTTTAATTATTTATATTACTTAATTTGTATCAAGGAGAAAATAAAATAATTTAAAATTAAAAATTTCATTATGTAAACTCTTTATAAAAGACTACTTTAATACAAGTATATTCCTGAATAATGTGAAAACTAGTTGAAAAGTTATAAATATAATGGAATAGATAATTCGATTCTATATAATTATATATTTGGTCCATTAGCTGAATAATTTTTGAGGTAATCAAGCATATAATAAATAATTAAAAATAAAATTAAAAAAATTATAATAAACATTTTTTTTTTTTATCAATTAGACACGTACCAGTAACAGTAGCGTAAAAATCATTATATTCAAAATATAAATATTTTTTTTATAAAATTTATTTATATTATTATACTTTTCTATTATAATTAATAGACCGAATACAGTAAAAAAAAAAATTTAAATATATAATATAAAAATATAAAAGATAACATTAATAGGTTTCATATGTGTAATGATTCCTCATTTACTCATATTATGGATAGCTCCAGGTGACGAATCAAAAGATATTCCTAAATGGCTAATAATTTTTACAGGGATTATGCATTTAGTTTACATGGTAGTTAAACAAAAAATTATATTTTATTTATGTTAATTAGAATTTCGATAATATGGATGGAAAACAAGCAAGAAAAACCGGTAAAACAATTAATTTTATATATTATTTTTTCATATTGATTCTTATATTTTTCTTTTTCTGTAATATTTTTATAATAACCAATTACCCATTTTTTTAAAAAAAAAAATTATTGAGTTTTTATAAAAAAATATTCCAGAAAAAAACAAAAGAAAGAATCAATATTGAATAAATAACATCTAAAATCATAAATTAATTTAAAATATGAAAAGGTAATTCATCACCGTTAGGATTACTTATTGATCATGGATGTGATGCACTTATTGTTACTATCTAAGGAATGAGTCTTTCTGCATGTGTTGGTTTTGGAAATAGTTATTTAATGTATTCTTTAAATTTGTGTGGATCAGTACCTTTTTTTATTACCACTTTAGATGAAGTAAATAAATAAAAAAATTATAAGATTATATTATGTATTAATTCATTTTATAAAATATTTAGTATTATACTGATATAATGTACCTTCCTTTAATTAATGGAGCTGCTGAAGGATGCTTTTCTATTGGAGTTGTTTATTTATTTACTGCTTATATGGGTTTCATTTTTAATAATTAATATTATTAGTATTATATTCTAATTAAATTTTTTTAAAAGGAAATGAATACTGGCTTAAAGATAGTATATGGGGATTAAAAAATAATAGTATAACAGTTATAGGATTTTACGCAGCTTCGGTTTTCGCAACATTAAATATGTAAAAAATATATATATATTTAAAATTAAAAAATTACATTTAAATCTATTAGATTGTACAGAATATATTAAGTAAAAGGATTTGAAACACTAAAAAAATTAATAAAAAATACTAGCCAATTTTTTTTCATTCATTTTACAATAACTTATATTTTTGCATTTTCCCCTTCGAATGTAAGCTTATAATAAACAAGAATTCTCACATATATAAGTGCATTATGCTGGTGTAGAGTCGTTGTAATAAATAAATAAAAAAAAAAATTTAAAAAATTTATTTTTAAAATAGTCAATAATATAATTGTGTCACGTTTCTAAAAATAATTTTAACTAAGTTAGTATTATTACAAATATATGTATGGCTTCTTTATTAGGAAATACTGTTTATGGAAATATTTTTGGTAAATGCTTAGTATGTGAAGCCACCTTACTTTACATTGTTTTTATCGTTTGTTTACTATGTAATATTAAAAATTAATAAATTATATATATAAATATTTTCAAAGCTTATGCACACTTAGTTTATAATGGTACTAATTAATTATGTGATATATTAAAAATAAAGGTATTCCGAGTTAAATAAAAAATTTTAGAAAATAAGAAATATTGAAAAGATATATAAGACTAATAAGTTCATATAATAAATATATATTTTTATTTATTTAGAAACTTATATATAAAAATGTTCTTTAGTATATATATTATAATTGTATTTTTTAAAAGCTTTATAAATTAATAAACTTTTTTAATTTTTTTTTTTTTTTTTATAAATTTAAAAATCATTAATAAATTAAAATATATTTTATTTAATTAAAAAAATTATAAGGAAGAAAATAAAATTAAAATATTTTTATCACCAAAAATAAATAATTTTTTTAAAAAAAAAGCATATAATTAGCAATAAATATATATAGAAAAATAAATGGAATACCATTAAATAATAAAAGAATTGAAAAAATATCCAGATTGCGAACATTTTAAAAAACCAGTTGATTACCAAGCATTAGGATTATATGATTACCCTAAAATAATAAAAAATCCGATGGATTTAGAGACAATAACATAAAAAATTAATTAAAAAAAATACAAAAATTACAAAGAATTATTTTCTGATATATATTTAATTTGGAATAATTGTAAATAATATAATAGACAAGGATCTACTATATACTAATAAGCAATAAAAATGAAAAAATAAACAAATATTTTAAAACAATTATATATAAACAATATGAAAAAGCCATAAAAAATAAAAAAGATACAAAAATTTAGCTAATTAAATAATATTGTAAATAATAATAATTCTAATAATAATGCGAATTTTAATTAAAATAATTATAATACAAGTAATTAAAATAAAGGAAGTACTGAAAATAATGTAAATTCTATTAATAATCTAGAAAAAAAATATAATAATGCTACTGCTAGACTTAATTTAGCTTTTAAATTAAAAAATGCTAATGAATAATAGATTATTGTCTTATTAGCATTAATTGTTGACAAATTCCCAGAAATTTTGCCCAACTTTATTTAAGATGATACTCTATAAATCAATTTAACTAATTTGAATGAAAATTATGCTCAATAAATGCTACAAATACTTGAATAAAAAGAATGAAAAAACATAAAAAAAAGGATATTTTTATAAAAACTTTAATTATTTATTTCTTTTAATAAAATATAATATATATATATATTTTTTACTTTAAAATAAGGAGTATTTTTTTGTAAAAAAAAATAAAATAAAAAAAAAAACTAAAATACTTTTAAATATCGTTTTTATATAATTTTACTATTTTTATATAAAACAAATGCTTTAATTTATAAATTCACTAATATTTTTATAAAAAATATTCCAAATAATAATATCAGCCTATATATATTCCCAAAACACAGAACTTAAATATGATACTTAAGGTTAAATAAATACCATATTTTTAAGGTTTTTAATACAAATTGTTTTAATTTAACAACATTATAAAATATAAATCATATATACATGATAGAAATAAATAAAAATAAAGAATATATATATATATATCTCAATATAATTTCGAAAATAATAAAAATGCAAATTAAATGCATTAATAATTAATTTTTTTCGAAATAAATATTTTTTAAAGAAAAACTATATTATAATTGAATAGATGAAAATACATAAACATTAACAAAAAAAAATAAAAAATGTTTTAAAAAATTTGCAAAAATATTATTTATTTTTTAAAATAATCAAAAAAAAATAAAAAAAGGATAAATTTTAAGCTTTATTTTAAATTAAATTAAATTAAATCTTTTTATTTAATAATTTTTCCTCTAATTATATCCATTTTATATAAAAGTGTTATTTTTTTTTATTTCAATTTTAAAAAATCAACCTTTTTAGTTTAATTTTGTCATTCTTCCTCCTCCTCTTACTTTTAACTTTCCATAAAATAAATATTTCTTTTAAATTTGATTATATTCTTTCATATATAAGAATTCTTTTTTAGTTTTTAGCTTCATTAAATACTTTTTAATATTAGTTCTAAATTTATTTTTGAGATATTTAAACTTAATTAATATTTAAATGATAAAAAAAAGAACATCCTTTAATATTTTAATAAAAAAAGAAGGATTAGTTTTGATGAAACAATAATATATAATAGTATAAAAATAAGTTTTTAATGAGAAAAAATTTTTTTTTAAATAAAAATAAGATTTTTTATATAAAATTAAGATTATAAAACATAGATATTCTAGAATAGTCTATATATAATTATATTAATAGAATATAAAAGTACAAAAAAAATAATATTTGTTATAATCTTTTAGTAAATATAAAGAATATTTTATTACTTTTAAACAAACAAAATAACTTTTTAAGTTATGGAAAATGTAAAATAATAATAAATTTACATTTTTATTTATATAATTTTTTTTTTTTTTTTTTTGAATAATAAAAAATAGTTTTTAATGATTTAATGAAATTTATTAAAAAGAAGATTAATAAATATGATTTTTTTTGTAAAAAAAAATAAAAAATAGTTTTTCTATATCTAATATAGCATGAAAATCCTTAATAATATAATAAAAAAATGATAAATTCACTTTTTCTAATAAATTTTTTAAAAGGAAGTCCATAAATGAATTCTCATTAACAAAATTTTAAAAAGAAAAACTTATTTTTGAAGAAATATGAGCTTTATTTTAGAGGGAAAAAAAATAAAAATTATAAAATACTTTTTATTAATAAATAAATCCAAAATTATATATTTATACTTGCAATTTAAAAAATTATTTTAATATCTTCATTTTTTTATAACTTAAGTATAATAAAAATGTAAATAATTTTACTTTTTTAATGAATTTTTTATTGTTTTTTTTGCTAAAAAAACAAGTTATTTTTTCGATTAAGGAAGGGTTTTTGAAAAATAATAAATAATGAAACAACATTGATTAATTTTTATAATTTTAAGTTAAATTTTTATTACCTTTTTTATATTATAGTAAAATCATATTAACTAAATTAAATATAATTTAAAAATAAACATAAAATAAAAAAAGAAGCTTTTATAAATGGAAAAAAAATATTGTATTTTATTATAAAATAATAACAGTCAATAAAAATATTAAAAAATATAAACTAATTATTTTACTCATTTATAAAATCAAAAAAAAATATAATCGGGATTATTAAAGCTAATTTTTAAAATTTAAAGTAAAATCATCGAAATCAAATATATAAAAAATAATCAATATATTCCTCCATGTATATTATGTAAATGTTTATAAGTTTCATCTGCTGAGTTAAAGCTTAACCTACATTTCTAACAATAATGACATCCACATTAACATTAAATATGCAAACATCCATCATCATCTTTAACTTTTAAAATGTTACATTACGGACAATTTATAAGATTTAATTATTGAGTTAAATTCTTAATTTCATTTTAAGCCTCTTCTGATTATTAACATGTTTAATTAAAATGGACTTTATGTAAAAAAAAATCTTTTTTTTATTAATTTTCTTATAAGCAAAACCATTAAAAACATCCTTTACATTAAACATTATTAAATTCCGGATTTTATGAAAAATTTCTTTCGAAAAAATAAGGACAATCAGGAGTAGTACACCTAATGTATTTTAATTTTCTTTCCTCTTTTAATAAGACAAATTTTTTATCTATAAATTCTTAAACTTTTTTATCAAAAATTGATTGTATTTTTAAACTTTTTTATATCTTTTATAGGTCTTTCCAAGTTATATATATGTCTTTATGGTTTGGACAACACAAAATATTGTCAGTTTTTTAATTTTCTAAAAGAAAAATTAAACAATTTTCACAAAATGAACATTGACAAGACAAAAAATGTATTTTTTCGTTTTAATTAAAACATATTTGACAATCAATTTTATTTTATTAATTTTCTTTTTTTTTTTCTTTTTTTTTTCCTTCCTTTAATAATTCGTTATATATATTTTCTAAAGTTATATTTTATAAATCAGAATCGTAAATTAAAATATTAAAATCTTTTAATTTTAAAAAAGACGACGAATATTTATTTTAGATTTTATTAATGGAATTATTATTTTTAATTCTTGAGAAAAATAATTATTTATGACTTATATTATCAAAAAAATCAAAATGAATTTTCTAAGGTCTCAATATATTTATTAAACTTTAAAAAGCATTAAAAAAATGTACTTCATTTGCTTCTCCTTATTACTATTTTAATTTTATATTCAAATATTTATTTTATAAGCTTTCATTTTAAATATATATTTATAAACCATCATTATTTTTTTAAGCATATGTATTATTTCTTTATAAGTTCTCACATTAAGAATTTTCACTTAATTTAAATAAGTCTAAATCATTAATTAAAACTTAAACAAATTTTTTATAAAAACTCATTTTCTATACTATCTTATTTTATAAAATTTTAAAAGTCTCATCATTTTCTAATAAAAAAGTTCCTTAATAATATTTACTTGCCCTAACCTTTTATTCTTAAAAGTAAACTCCATTAATTTTATTAACTAAACTTAAAGCATCTTCTAAATTTTCAATCAAGAAATTTATCTAAACAACCCCCTTAAAAATTCTAAACTGAATATCTTTCTTGTAATTACTCAAATATTCCATTATAAATAAATCCACTTTGCTTTATTCATAGTATTTATCTTCTCTAAGTACTTATACATAAATTTATCCTTTACTAAAATTTGAAATTAAACTTTAGACATCCAATTCATCTTAATAAGGGCTTTTTAGCAATAAAAATATCTAATAAACCTTTTTATTAATACTATCTAAAACTTAATCATAGCTTTTCCATTCAAAAAAATAACCGAAATTTTCAAAATCACTACATGTTTATAAAAAATCTACATCGTTATTAATTAAAACTAAAGCTTTTTAAAGACTTTGTTCTAAACTAAACCAAATATTGATTATATTATATATTTTTATATTCTTTTTTATATTCTCATGTTTTATACCAGTACATATTTGTTTATCTTTTATTTTTTTTAAATAAGTACTAGCACTTATTCCTTTACGAAAATATAAAGTTGCATTTTAATTATTTTCAATATAAAGTTTTTTTAAATCCATTTTTTTTATATAGTCTTTTTCTTTTTCTAATTCTAAGTCTTTTTCAAGCTGTTCTTTATTTTTTTTAATGTCTAAACCTTGCACATTTATTCTATAAAATTAATTTGGTAAAATTATATCTTCCAAAAGCATATTTTTACCATTAAATATTACAGAGATAAGTGTATTTTTAAATTGTTTTATTATTATTTCTTCATTTTCTTTTTAAATTTCCTTTATTTCTTGTAAATAAATTTATATTAATTCTTCCTCATTAAACTTAAAATCTAAACTAAAATTTATTTTTGCTAAAAACGCTCTTTTATTATATTTTTCATAAGAAAATCCACATAAACATTCATATTTTTGTAAAAAAAAATCTTCGATTTTCATTTATATTTTATTTTTAAATTCCTAAATTAAATAAGATGGGAATAAAAAAAATTTCTAGTATTGCTATGCATGTAAGTTCTATTTTATTTCTTGAATTTTTTCAATTATACTAACATTTTCTATATATTATTCTTCAATTTAAGATGCATGAAAAACTTAATTAACTTGTTTGTTGACCTAAAAGCAAGTATCGAGATAAAAAGCAAGTGTCTTATAATTAAAATCATATTTTTTATTTAATAAAAATCCTTAAAAATATTTTTATTTAAATTCGAAAATATTTAGAAATCCAAGATTTGGAAATCCACTGAAAATTCCTAAATTTTAAAATTATATAGAATTAAAAAAACATTAAATAATTCGAATTTCAATTTGTTAATTTTGAAAAGAATATTCATTTTTTATATTTTCTTTATTTGTATTTTCAAATAATTTATTTTTATATTCTATTATATCTATAAAAACAGATTTATTTATGTCATTTTCATTAAAAAACTCCTATATTTAAAAATTTTCTTATAAAATATCATATATTTTTAAATAGTCTATAAAGTCTGATTTCCATTTATTATTTTTTATTTTAAATATTAAACTTTCTTATTGATTTTGAGTTTTAAAAAGTTAATTTAAATACTTCATTAGGCTTAAAATTTTCAATATTTAATTATAAACATTTCTTTATATGGACTATTCTATTATATTAAGGGTTTAATTGTCAATATTTTGTATATTTTAACTATTATAACTTTATTTTTAATTATAATAAATTTATTCATTTATTTATATATTCTAAGTATTTTAATAATTTTATTATTTTATTTTCTTCTGTTTATTTAATTTATTATTAAAAATTTAGCAATATTTCTAATTTTGTTTATCTAAATTTTAATCATATTGTTTCTCATTTCTATGATTTTTTTATTAATTGTTATTATTTTTTTCTTAAGAGTTATTAACTTCTACATAATTTATGTTTTACTTAGGAAAAAATTATTTTTATTCCTCAAATTGCTTGTTAATATTATATTTATTTTATTTATAAATTATAGAATTACAAATTGTTTCTTATTAATCTTGATCCATATCTGATTTTTTCATGTATAAAAAACAATTTTAGTTTATTTTATTATAATTCATATTTTTATAGATTATTAAAATAGTTTTAATATTAGTTTTATTTTATTATAATTTTTATCTTATTATAATTTTAAAATAAAATAAAAAAATTAATACTATTTTTTATAAAGATAAAAATACTATTTATTTAAATATTCAATTGAACTATTTTTTATTTATATATTATAGATATATATTATAAAATAATGAAAAAAAAATATAAAAAATAAAAAATATGATAATTTGAAAAAATATTGGACTTCTAATTTTGAAAAAAAATAAATAAAAGAGAAAACGATAGATATAAATTATATAATTTTATAAAATAAATAATGTGTATAAAATATATTAGAAAAATAAATTATAATGTTAATAATAAAATTTTATATATTATGAATATATAAATATATAAATATATAAATATATAAAAATTATTTTATTTTTAAATAAATTTATATATATAATATATTATTTTTATATTTATATTTTAATATATATAAAAAAAAATTAAAATGTAATTATATATGTATATATATGTATATATGTATATATGTATATATGTATATATGTATATATTTATATATTATTTTTTTATTATTATTTTTCCTTTTATATTTTTATTATTTGAACATATATATTTTTTTATTTTATAATTCTTTTAATATAATTATATTTTATTTTTAAATTTTTTTTAAAAAAATTTAATAGAATTTTTATATATATTTTATATTATTTTATTCAATTCATGAATTCTTAAACTTATTTAAGCCATTTCATGTAAAGTCTTTATTCTTTATCTAAAGAGAAATGCTCAATAAAAGCTGCTATTTCTTCATTTACTCCATTGCTTTTCAAAAATTCAACTAAACTTGTTTATAATCTCTATATTTATAATAAAAAATATAAATAAATTAAATTATTTAATTTACTTCGTCTAAAACATTGAAGTCAGGACCATTATATTAAGTTGTAGCCCTTTCAAATCTATTTATAGCTTTATGTTGTTCTATATTATCTACAACATTAACTTAATTTACTTAAATCTATTTTTAAAAAAAATATTATTTTAGAATTTTTGAGAATAAATTATATAAATTATAAAATATATAATTACTTCAGATTCAAATGAGCTACAATCGAAAACCATTGATTTTCCATTCGGTTTCGCAATATAAACAATAAAATCACTATAATCAGATAATTATTATTATTATTCTTCTTCATTTTATTAATCTTATTATTATTATTGTTATTATTGATTTTCTTAGCCTTCATTTTCAGGCATTTGTTCATCAGTTTAAGGTGATTTAGCTTAAAATAATATTTAGACTTTGTTTTCACCTATATCTTTATGTAATTCAATAAAGATAGAGTTTTAATCTTCTTTTAAAGTAAAGTTATGTTCTTTTAAGAATTCCTTAAGTTTAAATAAAAATATAATAAATTTATATATTTTACTTAAATAGAAGAATCTTATTAATAATTTTCAGTTTCATATTAAATTTCTCTTTATACTGCTTTTAAAAGTCTTGATTCACCTATTTATTAAAATAAATGATAATATTATACTGTATATTAATTTTATTTAAATTACTTTTTTTAACTGTTTCTAAGCTAGTAAAGTTAAATGAGCAAGCTTATCTTGCAAAGATAGCTGGTTTAAAGACTTATGGTTTTTTTACTGTAATATTTAAAATTTATTTTGCTAATTTTGAAATCATTTTTTTATATATTATTAAATTTATACTTTATAAAAAAAATTATTATATATTTTTGTTAATTAAGATACATTTTTTATTATTTATTTATATACTATTAAAATAATAACAAAATTAGTTTTTTTTTTTTGATCAAAATAAATAAAATATATTAGTTTTAATAATTATAATATATTAACATATAATACATAAATATTTTAAAATTTATAAATAAAAATAATATTATTTATTTTTAATAAATTATATATTTATAATATCATGTTTAATATATAAAATTATTTTAATATTATTAATTTATTTTCATATTTTTTAATTTCTATTTCTCCAAAATTAATAAAAAAATTAATTCAAATTTAATTTATAAATAAATATATATTTTTATAAATATATGTTAATGATCTATATACAATATTTATATATTTCTGTTAATTAAGTATTTAGTTATTTTTTATTATAATTACTAGAAAAAATTAAATTGATTTATTTAAAAAATTAAAATTTTTATCAATAATATATTTTATAACAATATTAAAGTATTTTTTTTATTTATGTCTATTTATATATTAATTATAATTTTATTATTTGGACAATTTTTAAAAACTATTCAAATTTATAAAATCTTTCAATCTTTTTTTTATTATTGGGCTTGTTGTTGTTGTTGTTCTGCATTATTTCCTAAATATCAAATTTTAATAAATAAAAAACCATTAATAAAATATTATATTTTACTCTATTTTTATATTAATAATTGTAGTGTACTCTATTCATTTTAATTACTAGTTTTTTCTTTACAAACTAAACTATTTTATTTTAAGAAATTATCAAGTTTATCATCTAACTTTTTCATTTTTTGTTATTTAATTTCATCAATAACTTTCGGGTTAATGTTGTTTTTTTATAAAAATCTATCAAGTTCATTATCTAATTTTTCTTGCAATTCTAATAAATTTTTTATTTTATTAAAATATTTTTAGTTAAAAATATTTACTTTGATTTTTTAATTTGGGATCTCTAGATGCTAAAAATTAATCTAATCTTTTATCTAGTTTTTCTTACGAAATAAATTCCCTTTTGCTCGCAAAAATAATTCTACTGAAATTTCTGTTTCCATTATTATTACTATTATTATAATTATTATTATTATTATTATCATAATTATAATTCCTATTCTTTTATTTATTATTGATTTTATCAATTAAAAAACAATTTTTAATAAAATATAATTTAATTTATTTCTTTTACGTTAAATTTTCTATTTCTATGTATAAATTTTCCTTGCCTTTTTATAAAATTATTTCTTTAAAATCCTTAAAAATTTCTTACCATATCTTTATTATTATTTTAATTATTTTTTTATTTTAAATTTATAAAATTTAGGTTTTAATAATTTATATAATTTAAGTAAAATATTATTATTATTTTTTCTTTATAAAAAATAAATAATTCATATTTATTATAAATATTTAATTACTAATTTGAAAAAAGTAGATATACATATATATTAATTAAAATTATTTATTATATTTTTAGATTTATAACAAATTAAAATAAATAAATGCATATATTATAAATTTTTATTTTAAAAATATAAAATTTAATACATATATTATATTTTTTTAAAATATAAATAATTTAATAAATATAAAAATAAAATTCGGAACATTATAAAAATAAGCAGTTTAATAATAACTTAAAAGCCCATTAAATATATTTTTAATTTTGAATAAATAAAACATAAGAGTTTAATATAATAGTTATATTAAAGTATATTTAATTAACTTAAAATTTTATTTTATTTAATAAAAATATTTTATAAGCATAATAATATATAACAATAACTTAAAAAATTATAAATAATTATAATAATTTCTTGTTAAATATTAATTGTAAAAATTTTAATCAATAAAAATAAAATAAATAAAAGAAAAATTATAAATACTAAAAAATAAAAAATGGGCATATGTTGTCATGGAGGACCAACCTCTGCAAAAACCGAAATAAATTTTATGCCAAAGAATTAAAATAAAAAATTATTCGATGATTAAATATAATATGAGAATGCTAAAATTCAAATAATAAATACACAATAAAACTAGAATATTAAACATTAATAAACAAAGGAATAAAGCGAAACAAGTAAAGAAAACAAATAAATTTCTGAAGAAGAAGAAAACGAGAATGAGGAAGAAGAAAACTTAGAAGATAATCCTAATAAACTAGATTTGGAAGGAGTGGATGATGAATAATTAATAAAGTAAATAAAAATACATGCCCCAAAACTAGATATTGCTAAAAGATTAAAATAAGAACCATAAATAAATTCAAAAACAATAATAAATGCATTAAATAAATATGGACCTTTTATTTATGATAAATAATTGACTAACAATAAGGATCTTCCTTTTTTGGGTCCTTATTAATTTCCTGATCATTCTATATATGTAGGTTAATGGAAATATGGTTAAAGGTAATAAATAATAATTAAATAATACCTAAATTTTTAAATAATTTAAATAAAAAGACATGGTTAAGGCAAACAATTTAATGAGAATAGTGGATTATATGAAGGTTATAAAAAATAAGTATAAAAATATTTATTTTAAATAAATAAAACAAAAAATAATAAAATAAAATAATAAACTATTTAAAGGATACTGGTCTGAAGATTTAGCTAATGGAAAAGGAAGACTGATTCATGTTAATGGAGATATCTATGAAGGTTATTGGAAACATGATAAAGCTAATGGATAAGGTTTTTATCATCATATTGACGGAGTTTGCTATTAAGGTGAATGGCTAGATAATAAATAACACGGATATGGCGTTGAAACTTGGTCAGAGGGAAATAAATATGAAGGAAAATTTGAAAATGGGAAAAAACATGGTAAAGGGTATTTTACTTGGGCTGATAAATCTTCTTATGAAGGATTATTCTCATATAATATGGTTTTTATTGTTTTTATATATATAATAAAATATATTTATATAAAAAGTTTAATGGATAAGGAATTTATTAATGGGCAGATGGTAGAAGATATGAAGGAGAATGGAAAAATAACAGAATGTATAAAAATTACATTTTTTTTAATTATAAAAATAAATTTATTATATAGGAATGGTAAAGGAGAATTCACATGGCCTGATGGAAGTAAATATACTGGTGATTATGTTGATGATAAGTATTTAAAAAAAAATTGCTTTTTTTTATTTTAAAAAATTACATGAAACATAATACTAACTTTCATAAAATTATTTATTTAGGAAGCATGGTCAAGGAATCTTTGAATGGAATGACTTAAGAAAATACATTGGAACATGGATGAATGGAAAATAACATGGAAAAGGACTTTATATAGGTATGAATCAATAAGAAAGAGAAGGAGAGTGGGTTGAAGGTAAAAGAGTAAAATGGATAAAAAATAAAATTGAAGATTAATAATGAAAACATAAAATAAAAATAAATTATTATTTATTTAATATTTCTTAAAATATACATATATGATTATATAATTATTTTTATTTACTTATTTTCAAAAAAAAAAAAATAATAAAAGCAGTATTATATAGATCTAATATATATATTTTAAAAATTACCAATATTAAAATAAACTAAATATCATTGCATTTATTTAATTAGCACAAATCAAATATTTATTTTTAATATTAACAAGCCTTTTAAGGTGGTGTCACTAACTACTAAATGTAATTATAGTATCATTTTTAATAACAAAATATTTGATTAGTATTCAAACACTATCATATATAGATTATTCATTAAAAAATATTTTTGAATAGAAATAATTATTGTAACTTTAGTCAAAAACCTTAGTTTATTTTAAATTTAAATATAAATTAATTTTCATCTAAACCAAATATATTAACTCATTTTTTTATTCATTAATCAAATTAAATTTATTACTTACGTCGTGTTTCTCAGTATTTTAATTTAATTAACTATATATTTTATATTATTCTTTTTTTTTGTTAACCTTCTTCAAAGATAAGATAAGATAAAGTAATTTCTGTATAATTTGAACTAAAAAGTATATAATTTTCTATTAATATATTAAATGACAGTATTTATCTGCTTCTTCTGAATAATTTATGTAATTTTTTATTTATTAAAAATATTTTATGATAATGTAATTAATAGATTTTTATTTTATATTTCTAATAAAAGACTTGTATTTATTATGTCTTACTATTCGATTTTTCTGTATATTAAATTAAGGTACTTAATTGAATTGCTACTAATGCGAATTTTATTTTATTTTTTTAATAAAATTTAGATTTTTTGTAAAAAGATTATATTTAAAAAAAATGCAAAATTAAATAAAATATATTTAAATATATAAAATAAGAGTAATTAAATAATTTTTTATTTTTTTATCATTTTTACTAAATAATAATTTATTCATTATTAAACTAAATTAATTGATAGAAATGTATTTTTTAATTATTAATTTTATAAAAATCCAATAAAATATTTATTATTTCTAACTACTAAGAAATAGGAAACAATAACTATTTCCATTTTTAAATTGCATTTTCTATATTGCTTTTAATTATTTGTTCTTTATTTCTTTTATCAATTGATGTCAAAGTATTTATTTTTTTTTAATTTGACTACTCCAAAATTCAGTATTTTTAAATAATTTATTACTATATAAAATGTTAATATAAGTTAGTTCTTCATTTTATACTTTTATTAATGTTTAACAGATTTTAATATAATTTTCTAAAAAAGATTCAACCAAATCTATCATTACATTTTAAGATTACTTTATTTATAAAAAAAATTATGGAATATTTTATATTTCTTAATTTTACTTTTTCTAATACGATTTATAATATGTAAGCTAAATCAGCTAAAAATTTCTATATATTTACATTTTTACACTCTTTATTTTATTTGTTTATGCTTCTTATCGTTTATTTCTAGTTTTCAACTTAGTTTTAAGTTACTTCTTTATTTTAATTAGGATTTTCTTAATTATTTTATTATTCATATAATTATTCATTATCTTTTTAATCCAATTTTATCTCATAAATTCCATTATGATTTTCATGCTAAATTTCGTCTTCGTAATTTACTTGATTTTTAATAGTAAATTATTTGATTAAACTCGGACAGTTTTATGAAAACTCATTCAATTTTATTGAAAATATTATTAATTCCTTATCACTTTACGCAATGTTAACCCTCAACTAAATTAATAAAGTATTAAATACAAATAAAACATTTTATATAGAATAAAATATTTTACATTTTCTATTTCTCTAATATTAAGAAAATTTTAATTTTAGTATATTTATAAAATTAAATTATAATAATAATTTTGCTCATATTAACTTTCTTTAGAAATGAATTAATTACAATTGTTTTAAAATTCATACAATTATTATTATTTTTATAAAGAAATTTATATTTAATTTATTTCTTAAAAAATAAATAGATATAATTAAATATATATATATATATATATATATATATATATATATTAAATAAAGAATATTTACATTGCTATGCTTAATTTAAATTATATTTTGCAATATTTTTATCAATAGATTAATAGTTAAATTCATTTTCTAAATAATTAACATAATTTTCAAAATTAAGTTTACTTAACATTGTTTTATTCTCATTTTCTAAATAAAAATTTTTAAAATTATCAAATTTCAAAGAGTCGATTTTCTATATGTAAAATAAAGAATTAATAAAAAATAAATTTTATATATGATTAAAAACTTTAGAAATCGAATTCATATCATATTCAATATTTTTGATTGATGAAATTTAAAAAATTAATGACTTAAGATAAGACTCTTTTATAGATGAAAACCTTTAACTTTCTAATTAATTTTGAAACTTTGTTAAAAGGGAGATTTCAGTGAAATAAGAATCTAAAAAGGTATTATAATTATTAATATCATTATTAAAATTCTTATAAATTTTTTCATATAATTAGTTATCAATATTCTGATTTTATTAATTATCATTAACATTTTCAGTACCTTTTTAATTTATTAGCTATTTATATTTTTATATTATTTTAAAATTATTATAAAATCCTATTTTTTATTTTTCAAAATTTTTTATTTGCTTTTCTAATTCAATATTGTAAAAATCTACTTTTTTTTATAATTTATAATTTCTTCTTATTATTTTTATAATATTGTTTTTATATTTATTAATATATCATTTTTTATTTATTAAGCATATATTTATATTTATTCGCTTTTTGTAAGTACTAAAGATCTCATAGCCATTAATATTTTATGCAATTATTAGTCTTAACTAATTTTTTCTTATATTAATAAATAGATTTTTTTTTTTTTTTTACGCTATTTTATTGCTTAATTTTAGCATTTGTTCAGATAACCTCATTAAATTTCTTGAATAAGAAAATTCTATTTCTTATTCTTCATTTAAAATTTAATAAAAATCCTCAAACACTTTTCTTTTTTCTTCAAACTATGAAGTTGTAAAATTATATCTATCTTATATATTTGGAGAATAATTCATTTATTAATTATTTAAGATTACTTATATTAAAGAGTATTTTATTTTATTAATTAAAAAAAAATATTTAATTTTGATTTGTAAAACTAAATTTAATTTCCGCCTCAAATATCATATTTTAACTTGTAAAATATTATTTCTTTATTTGAACATTAAAAGTTAATATTTAAATAATTAAAAATAAATAAAAAATAAATATTTTTTTTTATAAATAATTAAAAAAAAATATTAAATTAAATTCAGAAAATATGATTATTTAATAATTAAATAAAAACATTTTTTAAAGCATATTACATAAACTATTATATTTATGTTATTAAAAATTTAATAATATTTTTTTTCATTATCATCAAATAAGAAAAAATTTAAACTAATAATAATTAATATTTAATAATATAAAAATATCAAATAATTCAGAATATAAAAATAAATTATTTTTAAATATAAATATATATTTATTTAAATATTTTTAAAATCTAGATATATAAAAATTCATAATTATTTCCCATAATTATATGTTAATAAAATATTTATAATTGTATTTTATTTATTTAAAGTTATTTCGATTTAGGATCTGTTATTTTTAATTAAATAAATTACCAAAATAATATTTCAAACAAAAAATATTATATTTTTGCACTTAATTTTTTATTTTAATGCCAATAATATAAAAAATATTTAAAAAAGAATAATTTTAATTTAACAATAAATATTTATAGTACATAAGAAACAATATAAAATACTAATATAAAATAATTTATGTCAATATATAAAAATTATTTATAAAAAAATATAAATATTTTATATAAAAAAAAAATAAAATATTATGGTAATTAATAGAATTTGATTGAAAAAAATTAATTTTATTTATTTTGATAGAAATATATTATTTAAAATATATATTTTTAAAAAAATATTGCTTTATAAAATTAAATATTTTATTAATTTAAATAAACAATATAAGTTTTTGAACATTTATATGTTTTTAATATATATTTAAATAAAAATGTAATA